GCATCTCCGTTTGTAAGTGCAAATTGACCCGGAAGTCCCGGTAATCCCGGAGGCTGCGATGGAGGTACTCTTCCTCTTTGTACAGCTGAAACAAAAACAAAAACAATTCAAACGACGATTCCAAACCAATAATAATAATAATAATTACGTAAAAAATATCAGAGGATTTGGAAGACTAACTGTAAATTTTTTTCTTTGTCAGGCTTGAATCTTTCGTAATTTTTTTTTTTTTTTGTACGTAATTGATAATATCAAATATCATGAGAATAGTACTACTACTACCTCTACTACCACTACTAAAAACCGCCATTTTGTTTTTTTTTTTTTATTTTAATACGAGAGAGAGAGTAAGTAAGTTAGTACATTAGTACCTGATTTTATCTTTTTTTTTTTTTTTTTTACTATCTGACTTTTAGAGACATTGAATTAGTAGTTGGTTAGTTTTTTTTTTCGTACTTGTAATTTAAAGTTCACGAGTTCAAGGTTAAACTTTAAAAAGAACATCATCAAATTGTTTTACACTTTAAACAAATAATAATAATAATTATTATTACGATATACATATACATATACTTTTTTTTTAAAACTTTTTCTGTCGTTTTCTTTTAAATTGCATTTATTTATATTTTAGCAAAATGATAGTTTCCATTTTGTTTTAAAAAAAAATAGAAAGATGGAACGTGTGATTTTACAAAATAGACGTTAAAAAAAAAATTATTCGTGGGATAAAATTATAGTAATTTAATGTTATGGGAAACGCCTTTGAAAAATATTTTCTTTTTTTTTTTTTTTTTAACAATTTCTTTCGAAAATTATTTTTAAACTTCGATATTTTTTTTTTCATTGTTTTTGTTTCATCAACAAATTATAATTGTTTGCACCGTTTTTTTCATAAATACAGATTTTTTTTATTAATAGAAAGAGACAGAGAGAGAGAGAGGAAGAGGAAAAATTACATTTTAATTCTTTTATACATTACAGTTATTTTTCTTTAATCGAGTAATAAAAATAATAATAATAATAAAAACGTGAAGAAAAACTTTTAGCAGAATGAAAAACGTTCGACAACATAACAAACTCGTCGTAAAAAAAAAAAAAAATTTTATGTATTTCCGCCGCCACGTTATTATTTCTATTTTTTTTTTCTATGAGAAAATTTTTGAAAATTTTTTTTGTGCGTGATATACACACACGTACGCACCTTTTTTTATTTCATAAAAATATTTATTAATTACAGGTAATTCACTTTAATAAATCATTAATAATAATTATTTATTTATATGTACATACGAACGGGAAAAAAATAAAAAAAAAAATTTAAGGAAAACCGTTAAATATATATATATATATAAATTATGATTTACGCCGTTTTTTTTAATACTAAATAATAATAATAATAATAATTTTTATGAAAATATGATTTTTTTTTATGTAAAAAGTTATGATTTTCATGATGCATTATAAGATTTTTTTCTTTTTATAAACGCTAATTTTTTTTTTTTTTTTTTTTTTTTTTTTTTTGCGTCTTAGGTAAACCGGTCACGTCGTCCTTGTTTCGAGTCGTTTCTTTTTTTTCTTCTTCTTCTTCTCCTCCATTTTTTTTTTGTTCTTCCTCCTGTATTTTTAGATATGAGTCTAACTTAAATTTTTTTTTTTTTCATACCTATCATATCATCTTTACAATCCTTGGTTTAAAAAAAAATCGAGTTTTTACGTTTAAAAATTTATTCTTACAAAACAAACGAAAGAGAGAGAGAGAGAATATTTTCCCTTAATGATCGACAGATAATGACGTCATACAATTTTTTTTAAAACAATTTATTTATTTATAATAATAATAATAATTAAAAATTAAATCGAAAGTTTTTTTTGGGCAAAAAAAAGCTTAAAGGTTTAATTAACAAAAAAAACAACTTTTTAAAAGATATTGGGCTTCATGCTATTACAATTATTCAACGTATCATCTTATAATTCATTAAAAATTTGATTTTTTATCACCGAAAAAATTTCCCGACGCGAAAAACTGGAGTAAAGTTTTTTTTTTGTTTTTTTTTTTTAATAAATATTCTTTATGTATCTTATCAATTGATTGATAACTGATAAAAGGTTCATGACGTCATTATAAAAACAAAACAAAAGGATAAACGTTGATGTTTGTTTGTCACCGGAGTTGAGGTTCCAGGAAGAAAATTTGTTTTTTCCATTCATTCAATAAATTAAATATGATGAAATTTCGGGAAATCGTGATATGGAGCAAAATGATAATAACAACTTCCAACTAAAGGGGGCGTTACATGATGGGACGTCCCATACATTTCCAAAAAAAAATTTTAAATAATTATTATTAAATTAAAAATAAATAAATACATAAACATTTAAAATTATTATTATTATTCTTATATGGTAAATCGTCGAGTTTTTCGATCGATGGTCATTTTTTTATAATAATAATAATAATAATAATAATTTTTTTTTTGTAAATAATTAACAAAGCATTCATTTTAATTCATCACGTGACGTTTTTTTAAAAACATCGCCCATGATGATTTTAAAAATGCGTAGGTGGAAGAAAACTTAAGAACCTACACTCGTTCTACTTTTCAAAATTTTTTTTTTTTTTACCAAAAAAAATTTTCGTTTTTAATAAAAAAAAAAAAAGAAAAACCCCGCCCCGCGATTCAAATTATTTTTTCCATAATATTCTAGAACAAAAACATTTATAAATAAATAAATAAAAAGAAATTCGATCGTGTTTAACACTCGATATTTATGTTTAGAAACAGAAAAAAAAAGTCGTTACATGAAAAAGCGGGAAAATTCAATTATTTTACTTACTTTAAAAATACATTTACA